AAAAAAAAAAAAAAAAGGCGGGGAGAGTGGGCATCCTTGTCTTGTTCCCGATCTTAGGGGAAAAGCTTTCAGCTTCTTGCTTTAAATATAATGTTGGCTGTGGGTTTGTCATATATGGTCTTTATTATGTCGAGGTACTTGCCCTCTATACCCATTTTGTTGAGAGTTTTTATCATGAATGGATGTTGAATTTTGTCGAAAGCTTTTTCAGCATCTGTGGAGATGATCATGTGGTTTTTGTCCTTCTTTTTGTTGATGTGGTAGATGATGTTGATGGATTTTCGAATGTGGTACCATCCTTCCATCCCTGGAATAAATCCTACTTGATCATGATGGATGATCTTTTTGACGTATTTTTTAATTTGGTTTGCTAATATATTTTGTTGAGTATTTTTGCATCTATGTTCATCAGAATATTGGTCTGTAATTTTCTTTTTTTGTGGTGTCTTTGCCTGGTTTTGGTATTAGGGTGATGCTGGCCTTGTAGAATGAGTTTGGGAGTATTCCCTCCTCTTCTACTTTTGGAGTTCATAGAAACTTTATCTGGAATAACCCCTAACTGGAAAAAACCCCAATGTCCATCAACAAGGGAATAGATAAACAAAACAGTATATTCACATAATGGATTATTACTTGGCAGGAACTACTGATACTTGCAACAACATGGATGGATGTCAAAATAATTATCCTGAATGAAAGACAGCAGATGACCCCCTCAATGAGCGCATATTGTATGATTCCATTTACATAAAATTCTAGAAGATACAAACTAATGTGTAGTGACAGAAAGCAGATCAGTATTTGTCTGTGGAGGAGGGGGTGCAGGCACAGAAGCTAGAGGTAGTGATTACAAAGAGGCAGGAGGAAACACTGGGGTGATGGATATGTTCATTATCTTGACTGTGATGGTGGTTTCACTGGCATATACATATGTCAAAACATCAAATTTTACATTTTAAATATGTGTGGTTTATTGTATGTCAATAATATCTCAATAAAGTTACTGTAAAAAAAAAGCGTTAATTCAAGTATTTAAACTACTGCAGTTCTATAGGCCAGATAACCATTTTAAATAAATTACATTATTAATGGTAACTATGAGAGGTGATGTGCTACTTGGTTTAACTGTGGTTATTTCACCATGTACATACATATAAAATTATTTGTATACCTTAAATACGTAAGATTTTTATTCATCATTTATATTTCAATAAAACTAGAAATTTTTTAAATAAATAAATGAAACCTACATTTACTGTTGAAAAAACATTAGGGAAAGATAAAAGGTATTAGAAGAAAAAAGACTGGCCATGAATTAGTAATTGTTGAAGTTAGGAAAGAGATACATAAAGGTTCACTATACCAGTTTCTTAGCTTTTATATTCGTTTGAAACTTTGCATTATAAAGTTTTTTAAAAAACTCTTCTAGCACCTCAATTCAAACAAATAAACAAACAAACAACAGCTCCTCAAAACTTCCCATTGTCCTTAGAAATAAAACTCCTTATCAGTCCTACAAAGCTTTGAAATGCCTTTGCCCTTATAGTTCCTTCTACCCTGGAACTTTCTTTCCTCATCTCTTCATTTAGTTGGTTCTTTTCTGTTCTCCAGTTTCAGCTTGTCACCTTCTCGGAGAAGTCTTTCCCAACCACCTTTATCTAAGTTCCTCCATTACTCTCTATTATAGCACCCTATTTGATTCTCTTCCTAACATACCAGTCTTTCAACATTTTACTTATATGTTTGTTTATTGTCTCTCCAAGCCCCCTTACACGTCAAGAGAGGAGAAACCTTAACTCTTATAGCCACTGAGTTATATTCCTGATACTTGGCACACAGTAAGTACTCAATAAATTTGTCGAATGTTAAACTAGTAACCCAACACTGGGCATTACCCTATTGTTGAACATTTTATAGCAAAGCCTTACAGAGAACCTCCTGTTTGCAAAGCTTCAGGTAACACATATGCATACCTGAAGTAAGAGGATAATATATAATGATAATTAAGCATAATTAAAAAAAAAAAACTCTTCCAAAGGCTATTGAAACAGCAAATAAATACGGTTTAAGAAGACTAATTTTTTCTCCAAATAATTCATTTAGAAATAGAAACTTGAGTTCTGATATAATCCCTTCTCTAGATAAAGATGTATAAACAAATGGGTTCCCCAGGGATTGATGTTGAACCCCATCACATAACATTTTTAGGAATTATCTAGAAAAACTTGTAGTGAAATCTTTCTCATTGGCAGATGATCTACAGCGGTAGCTCTACAGAAGTCTGATGGTACAAAGTTGTGTGCTGGGAAATGTATAAAATAGCTTTCGTGTAGACAAAAATAAGATAATGCAGTAATGGAAGAATAGGCCAAACCATATTTATCAGATGATAAGCTCTAAAGCCACCTGTTACAATACAAGAAAAGGGTTTCAGAGTCCCTGGACTTATCCTGAAAACAGCTACAAAAAGACAACAAAATGCTGGTTGTTATTATGAAAGCTCTAGCAATACAGAACACATTATCCTGCCCTTAAACCAATGTGTATCTGTACCTAGAATAGAATGTGCAGTTGTGGTCATCATAGCACAAAAAAAGGTAAAATAGACAGAGGAGGCCTACAAAGGTATCCAAAAAGACCAACAGACAGGAGCTTCTGTATGTACACATTTTTAAAAAACATAGATACAGATATATAAAGGATACTTTAACAAGAAAGAAACAAAGAGGGAGTGAAATGGGAAAAAGGGATTCTGCATCAGTCTTGGAAGTTCTAAAGCAGAAGTCTAAGGAAACAATAAGGTATAGTAAAAGAGGGAAAAAGAAAAGGAGTAAGAAAGAAGGGAAGGAAGAAGGGAGGGAAAGAAGAACAGCAGGCTTTGAATTTTAGTTCCAGCAGGCTTAGCTGTGTGACCATGGGCACGTTACTTAGTTTCTTTGAGCCTCACTTTTCTCATCTGTAAATAACAACTAATTCGAAGGGTTAAGGTGAGAATGGAGATATACACACTGCCTAGCACACGGTATATACTTACTATCCAGGAGCTATTGCTTTTATTAGGACCAATAAAATCTGGTAATAGTTTACTACCCAATCCAGTATACAAAGTAATAAAACTCATTACTCAGATGGGGAGTACAGAATGTAAGAAAAAAATAATTCAAATAGTCTAGATAAATTCACAGATAGTATTTCTGTAAGAAATTCCTAAGAGAAATTATGAATTTGGGGCATAAATTTTGAAGTTGATATTTTCATTCTTTTCCCACAAGCACAATTCTGCACCAGATAAATTATGTATCCAACCAAATATGTCATTTCTTATTTTACAACAACTGTTAACATTTATTGCGCACTGCACTAAGAAATGACATCCTTTAACCCTTCCAATACCCTTTGAGATACGTTCTATATTTTACTGTAAAGCTAGACAGGCCCCATTTTACAGATGAGAAAACTGAGGCCGAGAGAGTCACTATCCAAGGCAACATATAGAGCCAGTAGGTGGAGAGGCCTTCATTTGAACCCAGATGGACTGACTCCAAAATCTTCACTCATAACCACAGAATTAAACTGCCTCCTACTCCACAAGAAATGGTGGGTATGGGTGAAGTAAGTGTACAGTAAATATTCAAAAATGTTGCCCGATTAGGCCCCCCAAGCCATGGTCACTGCCAACTAGATATTCTGATTTAGGGTGGCCATAAGCATGAACACTGAAGTAACAAGAACTGATTAATGAGGATATGACAAATCTAATATAAGAAGGAAAGCCTAAAAACCCTAAACTATGATCGTGGCTGTGGTAAAGTGCAGAGAAAAAGGAAAATATATCAAAATGCTAATTGATAGGATTATAGGTTATTCTTATTCTCTGCTTCATATTTTTTGAATTCGGCTTTTTCTTTTTAACAAACAGCACTCATTTTCATAACTAGAAAAAAGCAGAAAAAAAAATAAATCTGAGGAAACTTTATTCACTTCTGATTGTGTAATTTGCTGCAATAAGCATGTATTACTTTTGTAATTTCAAAGAGATTTTAAAAACAAATAAATCTAAGATCAGAAAAGGGAAGTAAACTACTTGCAAATACCAAAGCAAAAAAAAAAAAAAAAGGGGGGGGACATGATGCAAGAATAAGCAAATCAGGAGCTGCAGTTTGTTGGAAAGACATGCATCAAAAGATTGGGTTCACACTAATATACACATCAACATGGATGAATCTTAAAAACTTTACGTTGAACAGAAAAGTTCAAACACAAAAGACTGCATATTGTATGAGTCAAGAGGAGGCAAAATTCATGTGAGGATAGAAATCAGAACAGTGACTGTGTATGACAAAGTGGGGACTGACTGGAAGTGAGGTAACCTGGAGGGTTATGGAAATGTTCTACCTCTTGACTGGAGTGCTGGCTACACATGTGTTTACACTTGTCAAAACTCATCTAATTAAATACCTGCATTTCCATACATTTACCTGTATGTAAATTTTACCTTTAAGAAAATCTCATTAAAAAAAGGGTTTAATCTCAAATCTGCTATTTGTGATTTGAGCGACTTTAAGCAAGTTATTTAACCTTTTTGAGACTGTTTATCTGTAAAATGTAACTACTACTAAAATGCTGGGGACTGACTGACTATAATGGTATATATCAAGTGGGAGCACTGTACTTTGCAAATTATCGCCCAATGAATGCTGAAGGAGCTTTAAAAGTAATGGGGCAAAGTTGGTCTTATATTTCCCATAATTACACAGATGATTTTGTTATGAGGAATACTATTCTTTAATGACTATCAGTATTCTAAAAAGGGAAACTTACAGTTCTCAATTATGAATGGAAGGGAACACTTGATGGGCATGACCTCCTGCTACACAGTTAAACACAATTTCTCAAGATACGATTTGAAAAAAAGCTTTTAGACTGAGTACTTGCTAGAATAATGGCATAATTGGGAGAAAAAGGTTTCAATTCTAAATACCTGAGAGTAAAGGAATTGCTCTTGTTACTTTACTATGCCAATTCCAAAGTTTAAATGTCACCATAAGCCACATCACGTGTGTATATGTATGTATGCACACACACACACACATACATTCACTCAGAGTGGAAATTAACTAAACCACTGCTTCTTTCCAAAAGGGCTTCTATATTCTAAAAATAAGAAATTTAATTCTGTTTAACTGTAATTAATCTTACTCCTAAGAGAGTATGTCTCAGACTTTTCTGGTTTACCAGAAAAAAAAAAAACAGGATGAAATGTATTATCATAGGCAAATTTTAATAGCCTCTCCCATCAATCTCAAACTGTTTTTCTTTATTGGTGTATAGAAATCATGACAAAGAGCAAATTTTTCTGGGATACTTCTATATTTGAATATTATTTCCTCTGCAAGCATTCAACAATTCTTGTTTCTATTCTTCCCTTTTCTAATTTAATTCTGTTTGGTTTCTAAGTTAAGAAGTGTGTTTCATTTGCATAAATGGTAACTATTCTGAGATACCATTCATAACTATACATTTGAATCCTCTATAGTATCATTCACAACTTCAAATGCAACAGTAAAAAAACACTCATTCAATTTTAATGGTGACTAAGACATGAATGATTACGTTATATTGTGGAGGGTTGGCCAAAAGACAGTGAAATCCCCCAAATGTTACTAACTTATCATTACTTCCTGAATGCCCAAAGAGACCAAGGACCACTGCCTTGATCAATCTAAATGTATGCAGGGACATAAAAAAGATACAATATATCTTAGCCACAAAGCTCAAAAACTAGCAAAGAAGAACCCTGACAAGTCCTGGCAAGTTCTCAATAAAACCAATAGCTATTCTTTATGTATTAAACTTTTCAGCTATAAGCTTTTCTAAGAAATAGTCTTTAATGCAAGGTAGTAATATTCTAGTAACTCTTTACTCCATCTAATCAGTGGTAGAAATTGAGTTTACATAGACCTACATAAATAATTCAGCTATCTGTACGGCTCCTGTATGGTTAAACTAAATAATGAGGCTATTTTAAGGCTGTCACCTCCTGATTTCCCTCA